CCTCCTCCTAGCACAAAGCCCTTCAGGTAACTCCTGTCGTGAAAATAAAATTTGTCCTTGACAAAAAGTCTTTTTGAGAATTAGGAAAAATGAAAACCTATCTCAACACTGAATATCAATTTCAGACTTCAAAATATATTCCAAGCCTGTGAAAGAGATAAACATGAGACTATTGTTTTAAAGGAGAAAATAAAATTGTTATCTGATCTCTGAAAGAAATGGATTTCTCAGCTCCAAAGCAAAAAACAAACAAAAAAACCAATCACATAGGAAAAGACTGACTGATGCAAAGTGTATTTAATATATACTTGGAATGCAAAACTTTACTAAGACAAAAACTAGTATAACAAATTAAAATATTTGCATCAAGTATAGCCGACAAAATGTTAATGGCTTTTGTGTGCAAGTGGTATTGAAATCCAAAGACAAATCAAAGAAAAATGTTTTCCATAGAGGCAATGATCCAAGTGTGTGGACAGAGCATTCACACTAAAGAAAATACAAATAGAAAACAAATATATCAGAAAAATATTTTTATCTTTTGCATTGTAGTAAAACAGAAATAATGTTGACAACATTTTAGTATGGCTTTTAACTTACAAACAACAGAGAGTTCTGTTAACTGATAAAACCTATTTGGAAAATAAGCAACATAAAGATATTCATATCCTTTGACCTAGTTATCTCTCTCCTGGGAATTTATCTTGCAGAAATATTTCAACAAAAGCAAAGTCCAAATGAATAAAAATGATTATTGGTGTTATCTGAAACAAAACAGAAACAAATAAAATGACCAAAAAAAAAGAAAAACACACACACACTACAAAATACCAAAATATTCAACAATCAAAGAATAATTTATTAATTATGGAATATCAGTAGGTGATAATTTTGAATTGCATACATACATTGAGGTAACATTGGTAAATATTATTATGTGTTTCAAGTGTACAATTCTATTATATGTCATCTGTGTATTGCATTGTGTGCTCACCACCCAAATTCTAGTCTCCCTTCATCTCCATATATTTAATCTCCTTTACGTCTTCATCCTTCCTCCACCTTCCTTCCCCTCTGTTAAACTGCATAACTGTTATCTGTGTCTATGTTTATATTTATTTTGTTTGTTTGTACCTTTCTGTTTTATATCCCACATATGACTGAAATTATATGGTTCTTGTCCTTTTGTCTGACTTATTTCACTTAGCATGATACTCTCAAGATTTATCCATGTTGTTGCAAATGGCAATATTTCATCCTTTCTGATGTCTGAGTAGTATTCCTTTGTATATATGTACCCCATCTTCTTTATGCAATTATCCATTGAAGGACTTTGATCGTTTCCATATATTGGCTACCATGAATAATGCTGCACTGAACATAGGGGTGCATATATCTTTATGAATAAATGTTTTCAAAAAATTTTAGATAGATACCCAGATTAGGGGTTGCTAGATTATGTAGTAGATCTAGTCTTTATTTTTTAGCAAACTCCATATTGTTTACCAGTTTACATACAACAGCAGTGTATGAGGATTTATTTTTCTCCACATCCTCTCCATCACTTATTATCTCTAATCTTCTTGATAATAGTCTTTCTAACAGGTGTGAAGTGGTATCTCATTGTGATTTTGATTTACATTTCCCTTATAGCTAGTGACATTGAGCATCTCTTCATATACCTGCTGGCCATTTGTAAGTCTTCTTGGGAAAAGCATCTGTTCAGGTTCTCTGCTCATTTTAAAATTTGATTATATGTATTTTTTGTTATTGAGTTATATGAATTATTTATATATTTTGGATCTTAGCTCCTTATCAGAGGCATTGCTTGCAAATATCTTCCCCCATTTGGCCTTGCTGAGACCAACGTTCTTGAGTTTAGTACCTATGTTTTCATCTATGTATTTTATTGTTTCAGACCTTATATTTAAGTCTTTTATTAATTTTAAGTTAATTTTTATGTAAGGCATCAAATAGAAGTCTAGTTTTATTCTTTTGCATATGGCTTTCTAGTTCTCCCAACACCATTTTTGGAGAGACATTCCTCTTTCCATTATATGTTTTTGGCTCCTTTGTTGAAAATTAAATGCCCATATCCATGTGGGTTTGTTTCTGGGCTTTCAATTCCGTTCTATTGGTCTGTGTGTCTGTTTTTCTGACAATATCATATTTTCTTTTTATTATTGTGGCTTTGTAGTATAATTTGAAGTATGGGTGTGTGATTCCTCTGGCTTTGTTCTCTTTTCTCAGGATTGTTTTGGCTATCCAGGGTCTTTTGTAGTTCTATACAAATTTGTGGATATTTTGTTCTATTTCTTTTCTTTTAATATATTTTTATTGATTTCAGAGAGGAAGGGAAAGGGAGAGAGAGATAGAAACACCAGTGATGAGAGAGAATCATTGATAGGCTGCCTCCTGCACACCCCACTGGGGACTGAGCCCGCAACCCGGGCATGTGCCCTTGACCGGAATCGAACCTGGGACCCTTTAGTCGGCATGTCGACACTCTATCCACTGAGCCAAACCAGCTAGGGCTTTGTTCTATTTCTTAGAAAAAATGTCATTAGGATTTTGACATTAAATGGGGGTTGCATTAAATCTATATATTGAGCATAAGATGATTACAAAGGCTTTGTAACTATATATAAATAAATTCTAATAGAAACATGTTGTTTCTCACTCTATACCATTATTAACTTTCTGAGGATGTAGACTTTATTCTGGGGAAATCAGGTTGCAGCTAAACAAGACCTGGATAGCAAGAGCTGAAAAGACCTGAATGTACTGTACAATTTGGGAAAGAGAGCTCAAAGTTTGCAGGGGAATCAGAAACTTCAGACAATTGCCAATGAGGAGAGCTGGATGGGGGTGGAGCTAACACAGAGACATGTAGTGTAGTGAATCAGATTGCCAAAAGGGATTTTAGAGAACATAATATGCAATTGTACTTTTAGGTTATTTGTTATTGGTTTATAGTGTAAGCTCTTCTCTGTCTCTCTATTTGTCAGAAATCTGTATATTGTTTCCTAATGATTTGTGTGGAGAATTGAGGAACTCCACAGCTAGATTAATGAGCAGGGGCTAAGACCAGAGGTCTGAAGCTATTTCAGACTTTAATACTGTCATGGCCTTGGCTAATTTTCTAAGCCTCTTTAAGTTTCAGGTTCCTCATCTTTAAAATGGGGATAGTAACCTGTCTATTCAAAGGATTTATCTGAGAATACCCTATATAATAAAGAGATAATATGCAAATAGGCATCACACCCTCATGTGTTATGACCAATCAGCAGGAGGCTGCATGTGTGGAAGGTGGGCAGGGCTGTGAGCAGGGTGAGGCCAGGGGATATGATGCTGTGAAGGGCTGAGGCATGGCTGCAAAGGGCCCAGGCTCAGGCCGGCAGTGGCAGCAGCAGTGGGGTAATGAGGGCGGCACCTTCCCCTGATCCGCCAGATTGCCTCCTGCAGAGGGAGGCCAGACTGCAGCTTAGGCTGGGGGCTGAAGCAGACGCAGTTGGGGTGATCAGTCTGGCAGGGGAGCAAGTTAGGGTGATCAGGCAGGCAGGCAGGCAGGCGAGTGGTTAGGAGCCAGTGGTCCCAGATTGAGAGAGGGATACCAGATTGGAGAGGGTGCAGGCTGGGCTGAGGGACCCCTGCCCCAGTGCACGAATTTCAACACCGAGCCCTCGTGTGTGTGTGTGTGTGTGTGTGTGTGTGTGTGTGTGTGTATGACTTAGAATAAGTATCTGGTATATAGTAAGCCCTTCAGACATATTTGTTACCATCATCACAGTTCAGAACAGAGAGATCTTATGATAATTCAGGATCCAGATGACAGAAGTTTTAATCAGGGCTGTGGGTATATAAACATATTTTTTTTCAGATTTTAGATCAATATTTGTTGTATCAATTAAACTTATTTTTTTAAAAGAGGAAAAACAATTTAGTAGATGGCCTAAGTATTTAGTCTTCACTTAGAGATGTCTAATAGGTGACCATTTAAAACAAAGAACAGTAAAAGATTACCAAAGTTTAGCTTAAAAGCAAAAAAAAAACCAAAAATTACCAAAGTTGAACAAAAAGTTAAATAATAAGAGGCAGTGAGGTAAGGTTGTGGAATGGAAGCTACCAGAAATCTGATTGATCATTCAGAGGGCTTTTTGTACTGTAAAGCTGACATTTTCCTTGGAATTATGAGAAAAGACCTAAAGACTTCCTATTAAAGAGAGAGATAGAAATGTGACTTTAGCTTGAGTTTTGGCATCTTTCAAATTTAAAACATTAGCTAACTTAATATAATGAAGAAAAAGGGAAAATTAATATACCATGAATACAAGAGTATGATATAAATTTAATTTTTAAAAGCCTTATGCATTCTTACTTTTTAAAAATATTTTAAATTCTCCATTATATGTATAAATATCATGGTTATTTAATTACTATGTTTAGATGTTTAAATATAGATTTTAGTTTTTAATGAGAGTTCTAACTCTGCAGAGGGAATCATTAACCTGATTTTTAAAGTTAATTCCAACAGAAATGCCATAACCCAGGTAGCACCATATCTGCTAGCAGTTTACATGGCTTGCAGGGACATGGCCTGTCAAACATACAGCCTTTCAGGTGTTCGTTTACAAAACCAAAGCTATTATGCAAATGCAGTATTCATAGGAATAAATTTAATTACACTTATTGAACACAGAAATATGTCTTTAATTCTCAGATCCTGAAATAAGGGCTGAAAGGCTGAAGATGGCTGGATTCACAAGTGTTTAGAGGCTAGACTAGGTCTCCTGGGTTGTAGTATAAGTCAGATATTCACACCCACATACACTCACCCTAACTCCATTTACAGCAGCCATGAAATCCAAATGTCTGCCTTCCTTCAGATATCCCCAAACCTCTCCCCTCTCCAAAAGTATTTGTGAACAACTAGTAAGTAAAAGCTCCAAGAGAACAACATTTAGCTTCAAGTCCAGCTACTAGAGCTGTGAGATACTGACCTGAGATGGTGCCACATCACATGTGAGTTGATGGTGTTTCTGTGGTTGATCTTTACAAGAAGGGGTCACTTGGCTTCACAGTATCAGGTAAAGGCAAAAGACATTCTTCACCCACTGTATCTTAGGAAATTTCATACCCACACCAGGTGTTTCCTACACAGTAATGGTAATGAAGTGTAAGTACACATTTCTAAGTTAAAACACTGTCCCTGGTGTTTGAAGTCAATATACCTTTAAAAAAAAAAGCTAACAAATACTTGCTCACTCTTAGGAGAGTCCCCTTCTAGATATGTCTGTTCTTAAACCTTTCTCTGTGTCTGATGTCATCGCTGTTCCCTTCCAAGCATGTCCCAGAACAATGGTGTCTTGGTGAAGAGCTCATTGATCCCAGATATAAGCATTTCCCCTCTGCCCAGCAAGAGACTGGGGCACCTGGCATGAGGCCTGCTTAGTGATTGAGGCCAACTACTTCTCGTTCCACTTAAAACACACACATGGCATGCATACCATCCCTCTATCCCCAACACACTTTATAGTTTCCTTGTAGGTGAATTTCACTTGCCGATGGTAAGGATTTGGGGAGAGAGATCAGAAGGCTGCAATTTCTACTTCCACCTCCTGAGCCAATCCTGATCCCAGCACTTTGCATACCTAGGGCAACAGGCATGCAATGCACCCTGGGGCCTGCAACTGATTGCTCAACTGGAAATGTATTGAAAGGAAAGAAAAAAGAAATGAACACATTAAATGCACTTTGGTTTGGGTTTTGTCTCACTGTGTTGACAGTTCAGAGCCTGCTGGGTTTCCGGAGCTTAGAATAAACTAAATCTTACCAGAAACAGTGCATCGCAGCAGTCATTGCTCAGTGCTCTTTCTCTTTATATGCAGTGAGACTTGTCGCTCCATACATCAGTTACAGCTTGCTGCAGTGATTCCTCAAATAAAAAAAAAAAAATGTACATTGTGAACAAAACTACAAGAAGGAAAGAGAGTTTTATATTACAGGATTTTCCTCCCTTAGCATTCCTAAGGAAAATGCATCTCACACCAGTACTAGGAAACATGCACCGAAACAAATGCCCAGGACGCTGATAATTGCAGAAATCATGTGGTATAGAGCATGCACGTATGTGCTTTTTCTCTTAGCCTGATTTCTCATTTTATATTGAAAATTTTATAAATGAATGAAGACATTTTCATCAAGTGTAGGGTGTGCTCAATCCTGTAGGACACAGCTTAGAACACAGAAAGGAAAGAGAGAAAAATATGAGGAGACAGCTGTAACAGAGCCAGTTCCCCACACCCACCCACCACTGTCCCCCCCAGAAAAGCCCCTGACCACCAGTCAGAGACCAGGGATCCTTACAGCAGACTCACTTCTAATATATATAAATATATTACAAATTAGAAATAGTAATGTAGAAGGCACGATAGAAGGGAAGGAAAGGGAAAGAAAGAAGGTGGAAAGACAGTACCTCAAGCAGTTACTTTGGTGAGAAGTCATAAGAGAAGACAGCCTGTCCGTGGGGGTGGGGAGGTGGGAGCCAGAAAAACTTAAAAGCAGGAACAACACAGCTTGAGGCCATTTAGTGGATGGGTAAGAGGTCTCATGTATTTCAAGAGTCTCTTAAGGCATCGATTTATAGAGCACAGCAAAATCATTGATGTTTTTCATGTAGTAGTATCATTAGCGAGGGAAAAAACTATATTCACTACATCACTGTTTTAGAAAGTCGGGGAGTGTAGAATAAACTTCAGAGAGTTGTTTAAATGACGTGTTTACATTTTAAAGGGGTTCTGTACTTGAAAGTTACATGAAAAGTCTTTTTATATAAAACACTTTCCTCTGTGACAATGCCAAGAAAACATAGAATCACTGTGTATGTTAGTTGCATGAATACATTATAATTAAGTTCCCTCTAATTAAAATGAGCAAATAAGAAATCACTGATCTATGTTTATTTACCTCTTTTGGTGATGGGTAAGTATAGGTGCGGATGGGGGTCAGCACAAAATGGAGTCTATGCCTGGAGCTTCGTGTGACCCTGAAAACTCCTTTCCTTTTGTGGGAAAGTGAACACTCCCCAGCGATTAGCCCTCTGTCCCCCAGGTGCCTCATGCCTGCGTGCTGTCTATAGGTGCCCTCACACAACGTGGATGCACTTCTGTTCCTGTAACTCTGCCGCCATTAATCAAAGTTGGACTTTGATAAACCTTTAGTAAACTTTATTTCCCCTCCCCCCGTCAATCTTAGAAATGGACACTGTAGATTTTATTCTATATTCTCATCCCACCACATTGGCTCCCTTACTTTGATGCCCTAGATACCACTTCCTGGGGAGTAAAACTAAAAAATTAGTAAGTCCCTCCTGATAGATATACATGATCATTGAAAATCATATTCTCAAAGACCTGTGGTGTGACAAGTGATCCACATGAGTTTGGTGGGTTGTGAAAAAAAGATTTAAATACGTAGTTCAAAAGTTAGAAATGTGAGGTTAATTGTGATATTTACAAAAATCCTGTTTTACATCATGTTTTTTCACTACCTTAAATGCTGTGCACATTTTAAGAGTTTATAATTTAACACAGCTAATGTAATTGCATGATATATATATATATATATTTTAGTGGCACAGTGCATGAATTTGTGCACCTTGAAAGGAACTGTGGGCCGAAAGGCTGTGGTGGGCACAGGGGTGGGTCTTGGCCCATCCTTCTCACCTTTGCTGGCCCCTCCCACCATGGCCCCAATCCCCTGTCTGCAGGCAGCCCTGTTCCCGCCACCACTCCCACACCCTGGTGGCACCAGCCCTGCTCACACCTGCTGACAGCACAGAGCGATTAGGGCTGGTGCCAGCAGCAGGTGTGAGTACGAGTGGTGGCTGCTGCCCTGATCGCCCCTCAGGCGATCAGGGGGAGGTGGAGTAGACCTGAGGGGCGATCAGGGCCAGCAGCTGCCAGCCACACCCGCTGATGGCGCTGAGCCATCAGGGCTGGTACCGGGTGCCGGCAGGTGTTGCAAGCAGCGGCTTTGGCGCCAGTAGTGGGTGCGATTGCCAGGCGGGACCACAGTGCAGGAGCAACGAATTTTTAGTAACCATCAGAGGTTTGCCCCGATGACAGTGACCGGCACCCCACCTTGGCCTGCCACCCCCGCTCCCCTGCTCAACCATCCCACTGTAGCCAACATCTGCCATGGTCTGCGCACACCCCCTGGTGGTCAATACACATCATAAAGACTGGTTGTTTGGTTGTTCTGCCTTTGGTCTATTTGCATATTAGCCTTTTATTAGATAGGATACCCAGTTTTATACATAGTATATATACTATTTACATTTTTTCATATATAACATTTGCATTTTTACTACATTTATTTGTCTATCTTCTACTGACAAAAATGGATCAATAGCTCTAAAAATTGTTTATTAAAGCATAAAACCTTGATAAACAGGAACACAAAGCACTGGCCCTCCTGAATAATAAATTCAGAGTCCCTCCTCACACAACTTCCCTTCATGCCCTAGATATAACTTTCTTGTTGGTAAGAATAACAAATGAGACTCCAGTGATAATATAAATGTATATGTTTTAGGAAATTGAATCATTAAGTGTAAAGATTTCATAAAATCAGTTAAATAAAAATAAAATTATAAAATATACAATTATTTAAAAATTGGATTTTATTGGGCCAACGGGAAATTCCTTTTAGTCCACAATGAGTTAACTGTTAATAAAATTTTTAAAATGCCAACATAAAGTCATTGAACTTTTTTCTTAATTTTCAAATAATTACAAGATTTTTTATAAATATAATAAAAAGCCTTTTTAGTAAAACGTTGACTAGTTTTACCCACTAAAGACAAGAGCACAAATGACAAAGACATTATCCAAAATTATATTCTTCAGAGTAAAACAAATATAAATGACCCTTACAGTATTGTTAAGAAGTTTGTAAAACAAACTGAAAATTATTGTCAATTATGCCACAAAAATAAAAAAAATATATATGCTAGTAAAATGTATAAATAATGCTATTGAATGCTGCCGGGAACCGGTCCATCCTTGCTGTTCCAAGGGACCTGGCATATATGGCATATTGTTCTTAATATGTTTGCTCACCTTCTTGGCACTATGTGTTTTAACCAAGGTCTCCTCTCTGAGAAAGGTTGTTTCCCCAGGTAGGGATTTTCCCCTGAAGTTAGGGAGGGAATAAAACCTCTTAACTAGTGCCAGGTGGGTAATTAATCACTTTAACTACGAACAATCATGCTTAAGCTACATAATCTTTACTCCCTGGAATGGAGATAAGAAACGCCCTAACCTTTGTAATAGAGATTGATAGGATTGAATCAATTGGTATAAATACAGATGTAATAAGACAGCAAGACACAGAACTTAGAATACAGAACCAAGAGAGACGGAACCTAGGTACAGAACCTACACAGAACGTTCTCTAGAGACAGAAGAACTTTGCTGGGGAGAACATGGCAAAAGATACTGGACAGAAACTGGCCTCAGAACCTAGAGACAGAACCTAGCGAGAGAACATGGCAAAAGATCCTGGACTGAACCTGACTACAGAAATTGGCAAGAGAACCTGACTAGAACCTGGTGACTGAACCTGGCTGGATAACCTGGACAGAACCTGGCTGGAGAACCTAGCGAGGGAACATGGCTACAGAACCTGGCTGGAGAACCTGGAGAACCTAGCAAGAGAACATGGACACAGAACCTGGCTGAGATCCTAAGCAGAACCTCTCTGGAGATCCAGACCAGAACTTGGCTGGAGATCCTGGCTGGAGATCCTGGCTAGGCTGCTGATCAACTGAACACTGTCTCCGTGTCCTTCCTTCTTCGCCGACTCCATCCACACCTTTGGGGACCCCTGGACCTGCTGGGGTTGGACCCCGGCAGAATGCCAAGGGCATCATAAGCATATAAATAAAAGAAAAATTAAACTGTGTGTCTGTTAGATGTATGTGGTGTGTGTGAGAGAGAAAAAGAGAGAGAGAGAGAGAGAGAGAGAGAGAGAGAATTTCTTATTACAATTGCATAAAATTACTAATGTGTGAGATATCAGCTTTTGGAACAAGTGTAGAGCATGTTGGAAGAATGTGTGTTTTGTTCCATTTTTTCATTGGATTAATGGGAATGCAGAAGAGGCTATTTGCTTTTGGAGTAGTTAATGAGCATCTCTGAGGTGTGAGATAGGGTATCTCTTCCGACTAGAGATACCCTTAGAACCTGGGGCAAGGGCCTTGACGTTTGTCCAGCAAGGAAAATGTGACATAGGCAAAGAAGCTATCTATGAAAATCAATCTAAATGTTATTCATTCAAAGAGAATAGATGGTGGTACATGATATTCCTTAATTCATTGTTCTACAAGAGCAATGACCAGAAGAACTTTCTGCAATGGTAAAAGATTTTTCTATGTGCTCAGTCTAATATGGTATCCCCAGACATATACGGCTATTGTGCACTTGAAATGTGGTTAGCGCAACTAAGAAATCAAATTCTAATTTTATTTACCTTTAATTTATTTAAATTTAATTGTCTATATATGTGTATTGGCTACACTATTGGACAGCACATTTCTCTGAAGTAGCAAACATACTGAATATGATGGGATCAAAGCTTTGGTGAGTCCATCTTTTTATTATGTGAGGGAGTGGGCTGCAAGTCAAAGACTGTTTTTCCACACATTTCCCTTGCTCCCAGCAGGGAAAATATTTGAATTTTTTAATTAATAAAAAGTATTTATTAAATACACTGATAATACTAGTGAAGAGAGTATATTATTTTTAAGGTGCCTACTTACATAACACATTTCAAAGATGCACTCAATATCTTGAATAATCTTACCCTAAAAATTCAAAGGAAAATAGTATGATTTTTAAATTGAGGATAAAGTATCAGGATTTTATTTGAAGG